CATCAAAGGATGAGACAGAGAGCTATTATTATGCCCATTTTACAGATGAGGAAAATGAGGCATAGAAACAGCGAGGACCTGTGAACACTGACAAGTAGTACTGCTTTAATTATACATGACCTATGAGGAAAGCTTGAAAGAAATGGGCATGTTTAGCGTAGAGAAGGGAAGACTGAGAAGGAACATGAGAACAGCAAAATGTTGACAGAAAGAAGACAGCGATCAATTGTTCCCCCACGTCCACCAAGGATACAACCAGCCCAATTTGCAGGGAGATTTAGGATATTAGGAAAAACTCTCTCACTCTAAGGGGAGTTAAGACGTCCAAAGGAGGTTGTGGAATCCCTGTCATTGGAGGTTTTTCAGAACACGCTGGACAAACGCCTGTCAGGGATGGTCTAGGTTTACTTGGTCCTGGCTCAGCGCAGGGGGCTGGGACTAGATGACCTCGTGAGGTCCCTTCCAGCTCTACAGTTTTCTGATTTTATACCAGCATAATAAAAGCGGCAAAAAAAACTCCGCTGTGGATGCAATTATAGCGGCATCAAAGTGCTTATATCACTACAACACACTGCAGTTTAGGAAGCAAAAGAAGCTAGTTCAGTATAACTCAGTCACACGGGGGCTTTTATCGGCATAATTATTTCGGTAAAAAATAAAATCACACCCCTCACCTCCCGCCCTCCCCCCCCCAAAGTGTTCTATCGCTAAGACTTTAACGTCTAGACAAGGCTTTGTCCAAGGTCATACAGGGAATCCAGGGTGGTGCAAACTCCCCTGCTTTTCACCGGAGTTGTTATTTATACCAGTGCCAGGTGGGTGCTAATTGCTACCAGAGCAGAATGGCACCTTTCGTTACCTCCACTTTGTGAGGCTTCCGTTCCGCTTAACTCTTCAACACCCGCTTCACTTTAAGCAGGGGAGTGGCCTTGACTTTAATATCGCACACTAACAGTGAAGCACGGACTTCACTGCTTTGCTGAATCAAGGCCGGAGGGGGTGCACTGAACCTGCGCTTGCTGAACACCCCCACGGCAGAGCCACGCACCCGTCTAGCCGCAGCCACGTTGCCGTGACCCGGGTTTGACACTAGGATTTCAGGGGGTGTTTCGCAGGGTTCTTAGCGCCTTGCTGACTGGCGCCGTTCTAGGAGCTGGTTCGCGGGGTATGGGGGGAGAACGCGTCTCTCCCTCCAGAGCCTACGCAAGTTGTCGGACAACGGAGAACCAGGCCCTGTCCATCTATAACACATTTGCCCAGACAGAGAGAAAAATAGTTCAAGGCACAAATTGTACCACTTTAATTATAGCAGTATAGTTAAAGTGATATATACCCCTCCCTTAGTGTGAATGCAGTGATACCAGGATAAAGGTGCTTATACTGGTATAGCTACAGGAGAATAAATATCCCAGTATAAAGGTACCTTTATAACTGTACCCACACTAGTAGTTGTCCTGGTGTAACTATCAGAGGGGTAGCCATGTTAGCCTGTATCCACAAAAACAACGAGGAGTCCGGTGGCACCTTAAAGACTAACAGATTTATTGGGCATAAGCTTTCATGGGTAAAAACCTCATTTCTTCAGATGCAACTATATCGGGGGGGGGGAGGAATTGTAACAGAATAACTAGGTCAGTTAGGGGTGCAAAATCTGTGTTTCAGCTGGGCCTCAGGCCCCTTTGTGCAGACAGAGATGGGTAAAGGGTCCTTAGTGCAACTGAGAATCAGACATTCGAATGGGCGGTATGGCGCTCAACGATCCCTTTCCAAATGGAGCAGCCCTCAGTAGGTGCGCTCCCGGTTCTGTTCCACCTACAGTCGAAAGACCCAGCACTCAGTTCCCATTGCCTTCCCAAAACCAAACCGGCAGGGAGAGCGGAGAAAGGGCCCTCCGTGAAATGTCAGCTCCGCACAGCCGGGAGAGCTAGGGCAGAGGATGTTGGGGGGGTGTGGAGCACGCAGGAGAAGGAAATGGACCAACTTCTGGCTGACCCTTCCCAGCCATCGGCCCCCCCTTTTCCTTCACATGTGGAGACAGCTCCTTGGGGATTTGGCAGGGGGTGAGAACAGACACCCAGAAGGAAAGAGCCGTGTGCATGTCTGCGTCTGTGCAAGAGACAGACAACATCCAAGCAAAGGGCAAGCAGAGATCTACTGATGGCAAACAAGCATCTCAGATACAACACATATGCCAAACAACACCCAGATCCGACGGCACCTCAGCGGGCCTCTGAGACACAGAGTCTTTCTTAAACCCCCCCATTCTCCCCTGCGATATTTCTGTTGGCCTGGCACCCCATTCAGGTCGTGGGACGTGCCTCTGTCTCCTGTCACCCTCAGCGACACTGGCACCCTCCGAGACAAACCTCAGCATTCCCTAGAGCTTCCAGGTCCCAGAAACCCGCACGCACACTGTCCTGTGGCGACTGTTGCCACCCCCGAGGCGTGCGCCCACCCCCACCTAACGCCCCCCTACCCCCACCCCGAGGGGAGTCTCGGCTCCTCACCACAGCACCTTATTCTCCACCTCACACACACTCAAACACACACACACACACACACACAGAGACACAGACTAGCCTTCAGCAGCATTTCAACCAGAGAGGAACAAACAACCACAGCTGTCAGTCCCCAGAACAGGCAGCCGTCCAAGTCATTGAAGCCCTGGGACTCTATTTACCATCGCCCTTCCTAAAAGCTGCTGTTGCCAATCAAATCTCTCTCCCTCCTCCCCCCCCCACCCCCCATCCCCACCCCGGTGCTCCATATACTAAGCCAGCCAGACTCCCAAACAGATGGGCACTGCTCCCAGCTCCCAAAACGGGGGGGGGGAGGGGGCTGTTGCTCCCAACACCCCAAGCATAGGGTGGGGGTGTTGCTCCAATCCCCCGTCCCATTTTGGTGGCTTTAGCTGTCGCCCATCACCCCAGGAAGGAGCAGCTGCCCAGGGCGCTGTCCCTCCCCATGGCAGAGACGCACACTTCGGCATTTAGAAGCTCTGGGACCCTCTCTCTGTACTTACGCCACACTGCTGCTCCTGCCCCCAACTACCAGGCACCCCCTGCCCCCCACCAGACACCTCTGCCCCCCTCCAGCTACCAGACACCAGGAACCCCCTGCCCACCACCCTCAGCTACCAGATACCCCCCTATGCTCCACCAGATACCCTCTGCCCCCCACCAGACACCTCTATCCCCCCAGCTTCCTGACTCCATGCACCCGCTGCCCCCCACCAGACACCTCTATCTCCCTAGCTACCAGATACCAGGAACCCCCTGCCCCCCAACTACCAGACACCCCATTGCCCCACCCCAGACACCTTTGCCCCCCATAGCTACCAGATACCCCCTACCCTCCACCAGACACCCCCTGTCCCCCACCAGACTCTCGCTGCTCCCCCCAGCTACCAGACACCCCCTGTCCCCCACCAGACTCTCGCTGCTCCCCCAGCCTCCCCTCCCCACTCACCCTCCTGGGACAGATCCTCCTTCCCCTCTGCACCATTTTGGTGGCCGCTGCTAAATGGCAGGATTCAAAGTCCCCATTTCCTCCCCCCCCCCCCGAACCCCCCGGAACAACCCCCACAGCAGCCCCCCAACCAACCCCCACAACAACACTCTCCCCCAAACAACATACACACC